ACTCCTAGTTCTGAGCTCTTTGCCTTTGCCAGCAAACTCTCTCTCCCATTCTTTCTGTCTCTCATCTCTCCATTTCCTTCCCTTCCTTCAGCTTCCTGTCTGCTGCGGTAGTGGGCAGGGGGGAGGAAGCAAGAGCCATCCTTTGGCTTGGAGCTCAGGCCAGCACTGGGAGGGAACACACTGCTGCTGTTGTCGGGCGCTGCAGGAGCAAGCCAGGAACACAGCTTTCATTTCAAGCCAGTTCTGGGGTTGAGCACGTCTGTGCCTTCTGCAGGGAGTTCATCTGGTGCCAGCCCAGAACAGAGCTCTGCATCTACAAACAGCAACTGCACCGTTCAGGGTGCTGCGGCCACAGCAGGAGATGCTGAGAATTAGCACAGCATTTCTGCTGAGAGCTTTCCAAACTGTGGAAAGTCAGGCCAATCTAGGTATCAAGCATGGGAAACTTCAACTCAGTAAAGCAGGGCAGTAAATAGTCACCTGCACACAGACAGAGATACTCACGTACGAGTGCAATGCTGCTCAACACTCCAGCATTACAGAGGGGACAATTTCAGTGCTGATTCAGAAGGATTTGGGGGAAAGAATGGATCTGTTCACTGATGGCTTCCCTGCTGTTGTGCACCTGAGGTTGCTGCCTGCTGGAAGACCTGTGGCAAGCCAGGGCAGTACTGAAAAGAAGTTCTGCTAAAGGAAGCATGTATGCGCCCAGCCTGTTCTCTTCCCTGGCACAGTGGTGAAGCAGACTTTGTCCCAGCTTTTCAACAGCAGAAAAAGGAAAAAAAAAAGTAATGTTACATACTGGTGTCTTCTTCCCTGGAGCAAAACTTCTACTGTCTTCAGTGAAGGCAAACTTTCACTTTGAACACAGATACAAAACTGTACCTCTGCTCTCCTTATGGCCAGGCCCAGTTCCTCCCAAGAAAGGTACAAAAACATTCTACAGGCACTGGTGGGATGACAGGAATTTCCTTAAATTGTTGCTGGATGTTGGTGCTTTGCACCAAGTGTGAAGATTATAGTCCTCCCAAAAATCATCCAGTGGAAATTGAATTTGGGCACTCCCTGTGAAGACCATTGCACAGACTTCAGGAAGGATTAACCATTTTTGTCCAAGACTTTCATCATCTTAGCTTCACCTGGGCTGAGCCACACCAGTTACTGGTTTTGCTGTGTAATTCAGGGCATTCTTCTCCATTTCATGTCTCTCCTGGTGCTGCCTTTAACAGATGATAATGTGCATGGCCAGACTTCTGCACCCCACTCGGAGCAGGAAGGACTGATTGTAGGAGACCACTGTCTCTGAGGCCTGACAGAGACTGGGAATCTCCTTATCCAGGATCACCAGACCCTACTGTGCTGCAGCAGCTGTCCTTTTGTTTCGTTGTATGATGGTCAACTTAGGCTTGCTGGAACACACAGTAAGTGGAAGGAATATGAGGTTTATTTTATTCATCAGAAAATTTCATATATATCAGTGAATCAGATCCTGTTTCTAACTTGGTGTTCAAAGTACCCTGCCGTTTTGAAGCAGCACTCCAGTTTAGTGCATTTGCAGTCCAGAGTGGGCTATGTACATATACAGATGATCTTCAGTATCTCAGACTCAGCAAACAAGATGTGGAAGATGATTAGAGTTGGTCTCCTCTGTGCAACTGCACCATCCACCATCAAATTTTCATAGAATCCTTTAGGTTGGAAGGGACCATAGAAGTCCTGTAAAGCTGGTAGCCTGGATGACAGGTAGTGTTTATCTCCTGGGTCCAAGACATGAATGTATGTTAATTAAATAGAATGCTATCTGGCTGTTTAAATAGCTGTTTGTCTATTGTATGTCAGAGGCACCTTGAAACTTGAGTGGTCGATACCAGTTTGTGCTATTAAAGAAAACTTCTATTCTGGTTTTTAATTTTACTGTATAAAAGATGCTTTTTCTCCATATTACTGTTCTAATTTCCTTTATTATAGAGCTACATAAAAGCGAGTCCTGAACCAGGTTAGCTTCCAGTATGAAATTAAGGCTTGCTGTTTATTTTCAAAGCAGTTAATGTGGGGACAAATGGGACTGACAGAATCTTATCTCTGCTCAGCTTATTCTCAATGTGTCATGTATTTTTTGAGGTTTACTGTTCATTCATGCTCCTTATGGCTCAATTTTCAATCATGTTTTTCAGCATCACTGCTCTTAGCACCCACCAGGTATGTCTTGCAATACACAGGGCAATATTAAAAGGATTCTGTACCCACACACAAGCACGCACGTACCAAAGACTTAATGAAATCTGGATCAGCAACAGCCAGAATTACTTGAAATAAAATCCTAGCAAACATCTTGATGGGACACTCAAACCTGGTTAATCCAAAACACTTTGCAAACTATTTTTATTCAAATTAAAAAGAGACTCGGGTAAACAAGGTGATGGTACATACATGTTATAAACCTGGTTAGTAGCTTAACCTTCAGGAGTACAAGATCTAATGAAAAGCCAAGCATGGATTAACCAGGTCCAAAAACATACACTGAAAAAAAAAAAATGTCACCAGCAGCAACGTTTTGGAAGGTTTACACAAACAGTAAATTTTCTCACGGAAGGGAAGGACTGAGGAAGAGAACAAATACTTATTAGTCGTCTCCAACTGGTTTATGGAAATACTGGTCCTAGATTCATCTGTTTTCCAGTCTCACAGAAGCCAACCATTTCCCATACACACTTTTATTTTCATATGAAAGTTCTGTTTACGCCAGTACAATGAACAGCAGTGGAAAACAAATGAGAGGTTCAAACACCCACAAAGAGAGAGAGACAGACAGACATGTGTCTTTTTTTTTTTTTTTTTTTCTTTTTTTAAACCAGAGTCAGAAAACAGTTCCTTTTGCTGGTTTTGAATTCTAGACTGTAGCCATTATATTCTAAATTTTACTGCAACTGACTGAAATGCCTCCAACACACAGAGACATGATTTTGAAATAAATAAACAAAACTTAAAATAATTGATCAGGGCCAGCCCAGTGGCTTAGTGGTAGTGCTCTGCACTGCCTTGCGGGAGGACCCAGGTTTCATCTGCACTTCCAATCTCTTGCTCCTGGGCCAGAAAGAGCAGTGAAAGCAGAGCTTCAGCTGCTCAGGCAGGAGAGAGCCAGTGCTGCAAGTCTGCTCACCACTGACCTTCAGATAAATTAAACATCTGAGTTATACAGGCTCCAAAGGGAGTCCCATCCAGTCCTCAAAAGAAAATAAATAAAACAATAACTTAACTAAAATCCATCCCAGGTTCTTTGGTGTAATTTTTGTTAATGGTGAGAAGTAGGAGAATCTGGTGGTGTATTAGTACAACCCATGATAGTTCCAAATACTCAAAAATGAGGATTTGCTGCCTGATTCGCTTCAACGTCCCATCTTTGTGGCTAAAAGTTGCAAAGCCTGTGGCAATTTAAATGCATTTAAAGATGATACTGTATAAATGGGGGTGGACTAAGACTATTCCATTTCTACTTTATTAAATAAACTTAGTCATTTACAAAGGCCATTAAAGAATTTCTGTACCACAGGTGTGCTACTTGTAGAATTCAAAATTGTAATTTTCCTATATGTTACTTAGCTCCATTTCCTTCACATCCATTGCACATCTGGCCTAAACTGTCGTTAAGTGCCCATTTGTAATTACATGACTGGTGGATTGCAATAGGAGGGGGAGAGTAATTAGCCAGTAAAATTAACTAACAGTTTATACTTGCACATGTCACTTCCCTCATCAGTATTAACAACATCAGCAAAACAGAACCCAAGATAACCAGTATTTGAAGAAAAATATCTAACCTTCTGCCAAACGTACTCAAATGAAAATGTTCTGCTCAATTAGACTTTAAAAACCATTTCCACATGATGAACATCTCTAATAGTAACATGAAGTGTATCAGTAAATCAGTTCTTTTGGACTGAGTTGCAGTGGCCATGTTCCTGACAATTTTTTCAAACTAATATAGCTTTCCCAGTTACTTAATGCAATCCAAAAATATTAATTCATTTTCTAAAATTAATTACATGAAAGGATTTAGCTTTAAAGAAATAACTTTACAGTCCAAAAGGCTGGTTAGTTATGAGGAAAGATAAGTCTTCAGCAGAAGGCAGTCATAACCTTGGAATTTGGCAAGTCTATACCTACCTTACTTAGCTAAAAATAAGAGAAAAAAAAACAAAACAAAACACTCTGAAGGCTGCAATGAAAGTACTCTATTTCTCCAATGTACTAGGTATGATGAACTTAAACATACCATACAGTAGTATTTTACTTTAAAGTTAAGTGTCAAAATTTCCTCAAATTTTGCATTGCAGAACTTTCATTAAAGTGAATCAATACACTTAAAGAAAGCACACAAAAATGTCTCACCATGCCAAATCATTACCAGAGTACGTGTGATTTTAAAACAACACGTTACTTCACTAATAACAAAACAGCTTTTCTTCTCCTCTAACTTACCTTCCCAGACCCGAACTGGTTGGAAGTTCTGCATGTCTCTCCCACAGGCAGGCGGACTGCTTAGGGAGGAAGCTTCTCCCTCCCGCTGCTTGGTGTTAGGGACATCGCAGAACCTCCAAAGCAGGTCAGGGCAGATGAAACATTTCACCTTCTAAGGGCATGCCAGCACATGTAGTCTGTTACTCATTTGGGATCACAATGGTCTTGGCTATAATAAATACCTGGACAGGACTGGACAACGTTAGCAGTCAAGACACCTTTGTCCCATCCACACTAGCACTTCCATGATCGCTGTGGCCCACTCAGCTGCCTCGGTATTGACCTGAAATGTCATTTTTCCCTAGCATCAATGCACACCTTACCTTTAGCTTCTTATCAAGAGATCCTCCCTGTTCTCATCCAAGCCAAATTTCTGCCAGAAGCGGCTGCACGCAAAAGGACATGTATACACATGTGTATAAGATGTAAACTATGACTAATTTCACATTCCACTGTATCAATCCGTAAATACTTTGTTTTCTTTTTTCTTCTTTTATATAAAAACAATGGCATCAGATTCTCAGCAATAAAGTATAAGAAAGATGAATCCTTGACTACACTTAACCAATTATGAAATCGCCTTTCAAACAAAGGAAATATATGCAAAAATCCATGTATTTGATAAAGTCAACTTAATATAACAAAAAGTGAAATATGCTTATTAAAAGTGTCCTTATATAAAAATGATCTTGCAATGTACAGTAAAATGCAATACAAATTATTGTTGGTTATCTCTTCCCACCCAGTAACTAAAACAGCTATTACTCCACAAAACTCCTTATATGCCGGTATCAAAGAAAGAAGCAGTTGTGTGACTAAACATTCTCTATGTTGTACGCCTGACGGATATTGAGGGTGTCTCGCAGCATGAGGTCTCGCAGACGCCACAACGCATCGGCCATCGTGGTATGAGCCCCTTTACTTTTCAACCAGTGCGAAGGGAGTCGACTCTCCTGCTCTTTTGATAAGTGGACATCTCGTCTTCGTGCTGGAAGGTCAAGAAACAGCCCAATTATCTACCGGCTTTGATGTCAACTATATTTTTTTTCTAGAAAAAGAATACAATTCTACAGAATATCTTTTACTCCTAGCACTTTAGCCCATACCCATACAATTGATACTTAGATTTATACACCACCAATGGAATTAGCCTGCTGATAACATATCTGTTCCCAGCCTGTTGATTTAACAGTTACTTGCATGTGTATATTTAACTAAGCAAGCAGCAGATTTATTCAGCTTTTTCCATAAAAGCAAAAAAACTGTGATGGTTATGAAGAAGAGTGTCCGGTCTGGAAGCATCCCAGTCTGCATCCAAAGCCTTACCTGCAAGGGTCTGGTCCCACTTGCTAATGCTATTGGATTCAGCACTAAGCCCCTCAATGTATTTCAGATAGGCTTCAGAATGGAGAAGCCTCTGTGTCTTTGGTGGAGGGGAGACGAACATGGGGGTGGTGGGCTGCTGCATGACGGGCTGGCTGGCTGGGCTCTGCCCGGGGTATGGAGGGGGTGCCTGCTGTCCTGGGGGGCCGAGGAGTCCTATCTGCAACGACAGAGCAATGGAGGGCTCACAGCCGGGCAACTGCAGAGAAGCCATGTCCCATCCGTGTCTCGGGTCATCCTCATGCAACAGCTTCAAAACAGGTTATGAACAAAGGCATATGAAAATTTCCCTGGGAGACCCCCACTTCAGCCAGAGCTCTCTGTTGGGGTCACCGGGGTGCACCGAGAGAGGAGGCACAAGCAAACCATGTTCATATCTAACACACAACATGGGTCGTATTTCTGATCCATGTAACCATACTCTGATTACTATCACCATTTATTCTCTCTCCTATTAACCTTAATTACTCCTTTGCTTCCTTTTTATTTCATGCTTTTTCTAATTTGATCAGAAACCATGAGGTCTGTGAGGTGTAGGGTTTATCTCTAGAACAGCAAATTGTGCCTCATCCTTGGATGCCTAGGATACTTTCACAAAATAAACACTCACCGCTGTCTGGCAAAAACTGTGGGCACACACACACACACACACAAAAATAACCACAGTCACACAGACAAATTCCCATTACTGTGATTAAGCAGCAGTACTGAGAAGTCAGCACAGACACCCTGTGGTATGGAATAACTGACTGTCATGACTTATACACTTCATGACTTTCTCAATCAACTTCTGGTTTCATTTACAGCCTCTAGCCAAATCACATTTCTCTCTATGATACAAAACTTTAGTCAATAAAATTGGAAGTGTTCTCAACACTTCATATGTATTAATCACCAAGGAGGAACATTTAATCATCACTGTTAGCCAGACTCAAAATTCTGAATGCAAATGAACATCTGCCTCATCAGTTTCTGAAATATCAGAGCAAACAAAACAGTTTCACCCACTCATCAGTGTCTGAGAAAGTGGACAGTGTCCTCTCTGTGTTGCCAAAGCATACAAAACCAAAACTGTCAGCAGTTTAATAGTGTGTTGAAATGACTTGTGGTAGTTTAGTAGAAGGAAAACAAAACAAAACACTGTCTTGCTTATACTGCAGAATTCCCCCCACTGGGCAGAACACAATTGGATTAATAACAATTAGACCAACAGATATAGACATTAACTGGTTCTAAATGTATTGGTGTACATTTGGTTTGTGTCCTCCCTGGGAAAGGCTATGTGAATTCCTACTGTCTTAACTGACATGCTGTTCAAATGCTAATTCAGAGCCTTAGAGCCTCATAAATAATGCAAAAATGACTCACCTGTTGCCCAAAAGGACTTGTTCCAGGTGCTGGAGTGCCTACCATGGGGGTCACATTTTGGCCTATAACACCTATATTCCAAAATATAAAATAATTAGTCTTATTGCAGATTAGCGACAAATACCTCTTTGGTCTTCTATAATAAGAATTTATACTTTGATATCATTGCTCACAGTTATTTTAAGCAGATGTACAACATTCAAATATTCCCCTCCCTCCCAATAAAAAAAAAAACCCACACTTTAGAAGCTTCTGAATTTAAAAAAAAACAAAATAAAAAAAATAAAAGCCAGCATGACAACTACCAAACACTGATATGTGGCCTGTTGAATTAATTTCATTAGAGAAATGCAAAATGAATAACTTCTGGTTTTCAGGGTTTTTGCACACTAGTTAGTGATTGCCTGACTAAAGCTTTTAATTTCTAATATAGGCCTTTGGCTTGACAGGATCTTCCTGGAATCCTTTAAGAAAGGAAATGCTGATTTGCTTTAGCATGATTTAACATTTCCTTGTGTTAATTTCAATAAACTACTGCATATAAAATACAAAATTCACAGCAGGAGGAAGTCCAAGCCATTGCATAATTCCATTAGGTATTACTAATATAAAACACAATTTCCAGGTTAAGTTTAAACAGCCTTACACATGAGACCGATGAACATTTGAAATAATTTTCAAAAAAATAAAACCTGTTAGTTTTTCTCAAACATGTTGAGGCTTTTTTCCCCTATTGCACAGAGGGCAGCAGAAAACACCCACGTCAGTCTTATGTACAAAAACTGACACATCTAAATGAAAGTCATGCAGTTCCCAGTATTTTGCATACAGATGCTTTGGTCTGAAAAAATGAAAGTTAGGCATGCTGCTGCTTTTCCTTCTGTTTATGCTACTTCTCATATTCATTCACTGGAAAAGCTTCAAACTAACTCCGCTAGCATCCAGATTTCTGTATCAGTGATCACAAGATGTGCCACTGCATTTTGCAAACTAAAGCATAGTTCAAATACATTTTTCATTTGATCACAGCTTCCTTTTTAAATGCATCTCTACTAACAGCAAATCAGAACTTTGGAAAAGCATTGGTAATACAAGTTGTGGAATATGGCATGGGTTTTTTCTGGTACAAAGCAAAGAGGTCTGAAGAAGGGCATCCTCACCTTTCCAGCATGGGAGCACGGCTTCCCCCTTAGCCCCCCCAACCTGATTTAGCACCACTTCACGTGTGGTCCTCCATTCCCAGGCATTATTTTATTCCATAACCCATATTCCCTTGTTTTTAAATACCATACAAACAGCCCACTTCTCCAGTGGGAAAGCTCTTCAAAGAAATGCATTGTCCTGGATTCACCTCCCAAACATCTGTACGTTGCTGACGTGTCCCTGCTTGGGTGAGTCGAGGACAGGCTCACAGACACACAGCTGCTTCCTACTCCTACATGACATTAGGGTGAATCTCACACCCCAGCAAAGCTGTAAGCTGCACACCTAATACTGATGGATTTAAAAAAAACCCAAGCAAAAAATAAACAAATAAATGAACCAATTTATATACAGATAATGTTGTAAGTGGGGTAGAGGGAGGCAAATGAGACCACTTGTCTAACTGCTGAACATATGGGATGCACATCTTTTAAATAGGCACATGAGTTCTCAGAGGTAAAAACTCTATTAGCAGAGAACAGCATCAGAAGGCAGATGAAGATTATTCCACCTCACTTTTATCTTTTTTTTTCTTTTTTGACTCACTCTGGCAAAAAAAGAAAAGCAAATGTGTAGTGGATATGCTCTCAAAAATCAATCCAAAATTTAGCCACAGTAGTACACCAAGTCCACCTCACCACTTCCATCTCCTGTTCTACCAAGAAGGTTTAATGTGAACAGTGTTTTACAGTAACATGCCAGTGGCCAAGGGGTCTTACATGACCAGATTCATTTAAATGCAGTCTGATTACTGATAAACACTACTGAAAAAGTGCTCAGTAAGGAATGAGAGCAAAAAATTTCATTTATAAGCTCACTCGAACTAAGGAAAGGAAGAGTGGAAGGATGCTGTTCAAACGACATCAGGATATGAATAGGCTGATTTCAGCTTTCAGGCCTCTGAGAAACTCAGGCACAATTGTCAAGTTTTTTTGGCTGGAGTAAAACTACTCCTGGAACAGCATCACATTTCTCCAGTAACTCTTCCCTACCAGTTTACTGGACATGTTGTTGTGTTGACCACATATATTCAGCAGTGCATCATGTGTGCTGCAGCTCAACAAAACTGCAACGTTTGGAAACAAAAGCTATGACCAAAACAAGCTGCAAGATCATTTCTGTAACAACTGATTAAACATCAAGTACATGAAAATGAAATAAGGAGCGAATGAGGATGACATTCTTACCGGGTGGTGGGATGCCTGGGATGCCTGGCATACCTGGCGGAAGTTGGTGGGGTGGGGGCACCCCTGGGTGAAGTGGCTGCATGCTGCCCATGCTAACAATGCCATCAACTGGGCCCTGCAAAGGTGGCAGCACCGGTGGATAGCCACTTATCATGCCTTGAAGGACACAATAAATTTCAAACATGCATCAATAACATGCAATATGATCTACACAGTAAGTCATGCACTATCCACAAAAAACAAACAAACAAACAAACAAAAAAACCAACAGGAAAAAAAGCACCTTTAGTACAGCAAGATGATACTACAATTAGTATCTTGCAAAAATGAATAAAAATTAAAAATAAAACGTTATAAATATGAAACACTATACTTTTGATGAATTAGTATTTAGTGTATTTGTATGTTTCTCACGGGGCAATAAATGCTGAATATTCAGATATGTTAACACACAGAATAAATTCAGCCACAAGTAAATGTTACTAACGCAAGCAATTTTAATACAGCTTAAAGCTCTGCCATCTGCATACAGATTACAAACACAACACTAGCTACACAAGCTCTATGTACAGCCCTGCTATGTGGGCTAGCTCAGAGACCAAACCCAACTGGAACAAAAAGAATAACCTACATGTTTTTCTGCAGTGCATATCCAAACTTGACACAGAAAAGTCCTACAACATTTGCATACTTAAAACAGACAGCAGTGACAAAGGTGATATTTATTAAACCATGTCCAGTAGAAACGAAGGAAGTGACTCAAATTTTTAACCTGACAGCAGTGGCTGCGCTGGGCTGCAGTGACATACACTCCCATGAGCAGACTGAAGTGAAAGGATTTACAAGGAGCACCTGCAGTCCCTCACAGAATTTCACTGGCAATGTTTGCAAAGTGTATTTATAGGAAAATCAATAATGTGATGAAGACGGTATTGTGCTGCTGCTCATAACTTTAGTGTTCTGCATGTGAGGGAAGCCAATTTAGAGCTTATTCTGTTTTCAGCTCAAGTTGCTGGTATCCATGGGGTGAACCTACCCAATATAACTGCACTGTGTTTATTAGGTCCTGGAACATAACTTGCTTGCCCCTCACCTGGTTTTTAAACTTTTTAATTTAAATGGATGTGTTGTCAGGTAACCAAGGAAAGGGGTTGTAAAGACAATGGAAAGATGACAGAGGACAGAAGCAGGTCTAGAGAGATTAGGTAAATTTAGGAATGCAAAATCGCTGGGGCTTCTATAGTCTGTCCTAAGAAACCACCTACTGAGTCTTTGCCACACTCCCAGTAACTCAAAAGAAACTTTCAGAACATGAATTTCTGGAATAAGACTAGCCAACACCTCACATCAGCTGTGACTGAAAACAAAGCTGTCACAATCGAACCAGATGGAGCAGCTCCAAAATACAAGCTAAATTTGGCACTTCCTCAGGAAGAGTTACCAAGGTGAGAAACCTGAAATTCCAAAAGCTTTACATGCACCAAACAATGAGAAAATAAAGAACCGATCTCACTCAAACCTTCCTTTTCCACAGGACACCTAGGCTGACACTTATTAAGTAGGTCTTAGGTACCTGTGTCAAATATCTGGAAGGCCATCTATACCTCTTTATTAACATAGTGAAATCTGTATTTCTAATGGAAAAAGTAAAAAAAAAACCAAAAGCATCCCTAAATAAAGGGCTTTCACCGTAGCTAACGCTTGGTACCTCCAATGCACCCCAAGCTACAATGACATCTTCAATGCATTTATATGTGCTTCTGAAACTGCAAAACAAAGAAAACAAAAATCCTCCAATGAAATAACCTCATATTTATCAATCAGGAAAGTTCATTTGTACGTTTCTAAATAAAATACTCACTCAACAACTGGCTCTATTATTAAAGTTGTCACCAAATCTCCATGAGAAATCAGTTCTTGTAGCTCATCACAAGGTTCAATGAGCAGCCACTCTCATACCCACATATGAGTTACCACTTTGATTTTTAAGTAGTAAAGATAGGCAAACTATTTCCAGCTCCCACAGCTATGATTTATGATGTCTTTCAAACTAGTTGTTCTCCTATGTTTTACTGTAACAATGCAGGATTAAATGAACTTTTGTAATGCCTACATTGATGAGAAATTAGAGCGCTGTGTGCTAAGAGAAACGCATCTCAGAAGGCATCCAAATTTCTTGGGCCAATGGGCCAAAAAGAAGTTCTATGAACATCTATGATGAAGTAGTTCTCTACACTAGAGAAAAGCAATCATATGATGGTCAGGGACATGAAAGAAGTCTCAACAGAATAAGATACTTTTAAGTAAGACTTGTGGAAACCAAAAGATGAAAGACTCTTTTTCAAATGGGCCATGAGAATAGAAAGAGTTTAAAAAGATCCACTTGATAATCTACTTTAAGGAAGTATCTCACACTGCCAAAGTGAAGAGATTTGTATGTCTAACCACTTGAGTAAGATGATGGTCTTAAATACAGGTTTGCTTTTGAGGAGACTGTCACAGGAAGTAAGTTAGCATGTGTCGTGTGCAGAATGTACATTGTTTGAAAAGTTTTAAGAAAGGGTCAATAGTAAGTATCACTGCCCATTAACATCTATCTCCAAAAAAATTGAAAAGTGACTCGGTGCCAAAAAAAAATAAACCAAACCAAGAAAACACAACCACAAGAGGATGACACTTCTACATATTCTAGATTGAAGTAAGTGACTCAGGAGAGAGATCAGCACTGGAGAACTTTTTTTATTTTTATTTTTCTTAATAGATACGTGTATGCACACAAACACACCAACTGCAAACAGTTCAGAGGAAAATGATCAAGAACAAAGTGAAAAAGAACAAGGAAAAATGCAACTCAATGTAAACAAATGCTTTGTAATCTAGAGACCATGAACCACATAATGAATGTGCCTTCAGTTTAAGCATCCATGCAGCCTGTGTACTGAAAAGGGATTTAGACTCTGATGAAAAATGCTTCAGGCTGTTGCCTCTAAATATGGCCACTGCCTGTGAGATGAGAAAGAAAAATGACAGAATAATAAATGGAATAATTGGAATGCCTTAAGGGAAAGTTTTAAAAAAACTCAAACTCAAACTGAAACCCCTCCAAATATGCATTTTTACATACTCAGCACTATTTTGACCTCCACTGAAGTAATCTGTTTTAATTAGAAATATGGAATTTTAATTTATGGAATCTAGAAAATTAATTCTAAATGGGGAAAGAAAAACAATCTATCAGGTCATACCCAATTCATTTTCTCACCAACATATGGCTGATTCCCATACAAGAATCTCCAGTGGACTGCACTATCCTCAGATCTGATCCTGAAAATACTTACTCCGAACATACTCCTTATGAACTCAAGCTGGATTACAACTGGTAACGAGCACAACATCCAGCAACAGCGACCACGTGGAAGAGTTCTTCAAGCTCAGTTCTACTCTGAAAAATCACCTGATAAAACCAGCAATGTTGGCATTTTATTTGTTTCTGCAATGGTTCTAGATCCTAGTCTGCTCTGCTTACCATTTTCTAATAAACAATTCTTTAAAGCTTTTGCCTGGATTAAAAATTGTGTTTGGATTCTGTTTGCCTCACCTTCCTGACAAGAATTAAAAAAAAAAAAAAATAATTTGCCTCCTACTTTACCACTTCCACTGATGCTGCATGCACTAAAGGAGTACTTAGCTCTCTCCCATCCTGTCATAGCAAGGCCAAACACAAACTCTGTAAAGTCAAGTGAATAAACATGACTGCACACAAACAGAACAGGACTACTGCACAAAGAGGACCCTTTCTCCTCTGCATTTTCAACAGGCTACCGGCCACCGGAGCAAGTAACACGGGGCTACCAGACTAGTGCCGCAGTTACGCATATTCATTATGAAGAAGGCCTGAAGAGGTTGAGCTTTTTCTTCCCTAAGAACAAAGTGACCCAAGAGAGTGTTCAGAGTTATGAAGGGGGTTGATATAGTGGATGAGGAAAAAATGGTCATAGCTCCTACGTTTTACCTGCAACGGGTGTCAACTGCTGATTGAGCATTCCCATTGGTGTTGGTGGCGGCACCACCCCCATAAGAGCCCCGACAGGAGTGCCTGCCCGGGGGGAGGAATTCTGCTGCTGTGCTGCTCGCTCTCTCTCCTGCTGCTCAGCAACTTTAGCTGCCCGCTCTGTAAAAGTATTTTAGATTTTCAGTTCTGTTTTGTAACCCAGAATTTCAAAATATTATCTGTTCATTAAAAAGGACTAGTCAAACACTGGCATAGTTTAGTCAAATATAAAGTAGAACAGATGAATCTTTTTATATGGCATATGAACTGATTTCATGTGGCTGCAGCTAAGACTTTTAGAGAACCTTTCATGAAAAATAGTCCACAAAGTTTTATCTCGTTCTAAAAAAAAAATAAAATAAAATAAAATAAAAATTTAAAAAGTCAAAGAACAAATTTGATAATAACACCAGTGTTACCATCATGAAGCAGCAGTCCAGCACTAGGCTTGGTCTGCGGTAGGAAAACATGGCAAAAAGTTTCCTCCTTTGACACCACTGTCCCAGCTAAAACAGTTGCAGCCAAGGCCAGCAGCTCTCACATAGATGTGCTACCAGCTGCTGCAGGGATTTTAAGCACCACATCTAGCAGGTCTGGCCTCAAGTACAATGCATATAGCAGACAGCAGTGCCAGCTGGTGCCCATTTATTCTTAGGCTCCCCATGTATTTTACTACTGATGCAGCTGAAAAGTGGTGGCAAAGTCAGGAAGCATTTGCAAAGTTTCCCTAGTGCAGGTAGGTCCTTAGTGTTTGGAACATAACAAGCAGCAGTTTGATGAACGAAAAATATTCTTCTTTGCCTCCTTCTGTCATTTTGTCCATTTGTTCCCCTTTAAGCTATTATTTTTTTTAATTATTTTTTTTCCCCCCTCTGGAAATGTCTAACTCACATTGTGCTGCTCACTGGAGGTCATGTGTGTCCTTTGCACGATGAATCTGGTCATTATCTCAATCAAGTTTCTCACTGTGACTATAAGAACAAAAGATCTACTGCATGGGAATCTAACCAGAGGACAATTTCATACTAAGGAAAGGGCAAAAGGGTCATGGGGAAAAAGAAAGGAAAAAAAAAACAAAACCCAAGCAAACAAAAAAAGGGATATACTGAATGTCCATTCAAGGTGCTTTGGGGCATGCAAGTTGCTGATTTGTTTACTCTGAACGTTGTATCTGACTGACGCAATGAGGAACAAAGAATAAATGAATGCAGCATACACCTCCAGCAAATTTAAATAACAGTAAAGGCAGGGCTAGAAGTTTTCTTGCAGTTGGTGAAAGATGAAAACTGCCACTAAAACAGGAAAGTCCTCTGTCAAACAAAGGCTAAGAAGAAGTTCATGAAGGAGATTAAGTTATGCATCCTGCCATTGTCACTTGTTTTCTATAGTATATGACTTCAAAAGTCTCTCACATGTTTGTCTCCTGTAGAACATGTTTGTGCAGCTTCTAGCACTACTCCCACACACTGAAAGACCAGTTTCATTTCCAAAGGCATTTCCTTCCTTCTTTCCACTTCTGTCATTTCAGGAAGAGACGACGCCGCACAGAAACTCCTAAATCTACTACAACCAATTTATACATGACTGAGCACAAAATACACAAGACATTTAAATGTAGATCCTGAAGCAGAAAAATGAGATAATCCTCTTCAGAGCAGAGCAAGCATTTGAGGAAAAGATGAAGCAACTGTTCTGACTCTCACCTACTTTTGTCTGGATAAAAAAAAATGATCAGACAAAAGCAAAAGTTCTGGAGACACTCTGATGAATGAGAAAATACTGTTAAGCATTCAGCTTTATCAGACTTCAGAGTGCTGAGCTTTGAAGAAGGACCTCAAGTAGGACAGTAGTTGAGTTTTACCTAGTCTCTGTCCATGCCATGACTGCCACAGAACTAACAGATGAAACAACACTACCAAAGGGAACGGTAGCAGGTGTCTAAAAGTTCAGCCTTGAGCGTTCACCTTAATGCTCAATATTAAACATAAATCCTTTAGGCCAGGACTTGAGGTAATTCAAAGAACATTTCCAACACATCTCAAGACACAGGAAGGAGACCTTCTGGTTTGAACAAAGCTTTTCCTTAAAACAGGCCTTTATGTCAATCCCATGCATTATTTTGTTTCATTTTGAGGAGTTTTCACAGTGCAGTTAGCCATGCAGGCACTTCCAAAACACCCTGTTCTCTGTTCAACTCTTGCTAAAAAAACCCAGCTATTACCCTGCATATATATCAAATTAAATTTTCAGTGGGTTAAAATGGACCTTAAATGCAAACCACTTTTCACTAGAATGTGGATAGATACTTTTTCCCTGAGGTGTCGAGCCAGACCTGTTCCCTGGTGCAAGTCCACACTAGAGAGCATGTGAATTTTGACTCCTCCCAGTGAGCAGTTTCTCTCACACATGGTAAGCAAACACAGTTTGGGTGCCTTGTAACCCCATCCCAGCCCCTCAAAAACAAATTAGAGTAAGTCTAGCTCTGGGCAGACACCAAAGCAGAGAAACTGCAGCCCCAAACCCTAAAGCTTTGGAAAATTTTAATTGAGGAAAAGGATTAAAATTGAAATAATCATTAACACAGCGGACAGACAACATTGCTACATTACAGCTGCGTCTTCCTGTGGAAATGCAGGACCTCCAGCTGCTCTAAGCTGAGAACCAATGACCTGCTAAACATCCTACTGCTTAAAGATTAGACTGTAAGGAGGGATCTGTCAACAAAAAGATACCACGTGCACCTAGGAGAGTGTAAGAGGAAACTACAACAGGAAAAAAGGCCATAGTACTTCCACAAAGAAAGAGCATTACTGGTTCCCTTCACAGCATTTGCACCTAGCTGAGTGGTGCTGGCATCACAGAGGTACTACTGCAAATTCACAAAGGACCCAGCTGGCTGAGAGTGGAAAGTGATCGCGTGCAAACCTGGTTTGAAGATCAAAGCTGCCTTTAAGTTATGAGTATGCAGAAAACCTAACAAACCTTATTTAAAAAAAAAAACAACCCCGAAGTTATAACTGAACTGGGCAATAACTTTCCAACCTGTTGAAACTTTCCTACCCAAAGTACCAATTTCTGCCAATAAATTGCAACAGTTGCTTAAAAGAAAATTGGTTTTATATTGGAAGTGTTGATACATTATTAACTAGCATAATAACTATGGATGTTGAGACAATGTATTTTGTTTGGGTAAGGGCCTCCTGTTAAGGATTAACTGTATTTTATTTTAATAAAATAAAGCTGAAGCTCAATGACCAATATCAGAAAAGAGGCAGAGAGAGCACGGGAGGAAAGGGGAGGTGGGAAGAGAGGAAGAGAGAGAGGGGAAAGAGAGTAGGGAGAAAGAGGGGAAAACAGAGAAAACAAGAAAGATCTGAAGTATCTCATGACTATGAAATATTCCTGGGCTTACTTCAGGATATGGAAGCTCTCAACAAAACCAGTTACAACTGTTGATTAATACGGAGACTGAACGATAGGTGTTATTTACAATATCATAACAGATTCTGTATCTTTGATTTTGATCTACCAGAGCTTTTTAGGACTCTAAGTACTGTTCATCAGAGAACTTTTTCCCACTCCACTGTAAGCATTCTTACCTGCCACTACAGCTCTGAAGAGCTTCTTGTCCAAAATTCCCCCCAGTCCTCCTTTAAGGTAACTTTCACAAAACATTTTTCCAACTGACTTCCAGCCCAGGGACTTCATGCCCCTTTACTTCTAATTTTTCCCCCATTTTCTTGGTCTTGGTTCATTTAGTTACTTGTGGCAAAGACATTTAAATTATCAGTTGTGCACTACATGACTTAAACATGGTCCTCTTCAGTCATCTCTCAATATGACCTTCTCTTTAAGGCATGTCCAGAACACAAGTATAAATATCTTCTTTTAGTATGCCTGCCATCTCAATAACAGTAATGAATGCGTTGAGAAAGAAAAAAAGAAAAGCTGAAAAGAGTTTAGCATCTTAGTTTTTATTTACCTTCATATTCTGCTTTCTTTGTTGCTTCCAAGTTTCTCCATTCTGTTCCTACAAGCCTGCTGAGCTCTCCAAAGGAGTAGTCTGGGTGCTGAGCTTTAATCACAGCTCTCATTTCGCTGCTAAATAAGATGTACCCACTCATGTTGATCTTCCTTTTTGATCCCTCCTTCTTGGTGCTGCCCTTAACAGACTTGGGAGTGGACTGTGAGAAAAAGCAGTTATGACCACAAGTGTACAAGGGAGAAGCTTCTTGATATACAAAATTCAAAGCTGTAAGAAATAGGGTTTTAAAATATTCCTTCATTTCTCTTGAACATATGTACACGAGGACCGTTCAAGCTTTCAGCCCCTAAAGAGAGACTACTGCATCTACTGATACATGACAAGAGCATCCACACACATTTATAATGCCACCTTTACGACCAAGGCTTCAAAAAATTCTCAGTAAGGCAACACATAATGCTTACTTCTAGCTAAAAAAACATATCAAGCTGAATAAGAGGACTAAGAAAAGCTGAGTAGCAACTGAGGACCTAATTGGAAGGCCAGAAGAAAATAACACTGCCTTATGTCACGGATTTCATCCATTATGCTGTTCTGACATGATGCCAACACAAGTGGAGTAAAGCATTTTATTCACCACTGTACATTTTAGGGAATTGTTTCCCTTTCCTCCTCAGCCTTTGCAACCCCTACCCTCCCTGGATCCATCTTCCACCCTTTTCATGCCTAAATTATCTCCATTTTGCCTGCCACTAGAACTCTCTAGTGTTCACCTCTCATTATTTAAGTAGCCATCTCCCCTGATAAACTCAAAGCCCAGTTCTGCTGATCACAGTTTACCTGTAGAACAGGTTCACATCCTGTTCCTGTGTTGATGGCTAATAAAAATTCTGCTCTCTTGCTTTTTCAACCATGGGTGTTCCTGTTGAGAGTTCCTTGATGCTTCCAGCCATCAAAAAATTTAACCTACTCTGACAACCACTGAGATGCCACAGCTGGAACCCCCTTTCTGATAGGTCCTTCCACCCATACTGGTCACAAGAGACCATAATTCACCCATGCTCTGATCAATAAGGCTCACAATTGTATCATAATACCAAAACAGTCAAAAGGCCCCTCTCATATTCCAAACATTACGAATTTCTCACATCTTGAAAAGTTTAATTGCTTCCAAATACCTGGTGGGAAAAAAAGGCACGAAAAATATATACAACTGCCTTCTTTCTATCCCGAAATTCTGGAGACTTTACTAACTCCTACTTGTCACTTTGTCCCCACAGTTTGGCACTCTTCTCTCAGCTAAAAACAAAGCTTCAGCCGTACCAAGATGCATTGAAAGTCTTGCCCATTAATTTAAGCAAGGCACTGGCTAAACTGAGACATACGTTTATGCAGTTCCAAACTTCACTATATTAATTTTCAAATGGCAATCCATCCTTAATGTTTTCATTATGAACCTAAAGACAACACTTGTCTTTTTGGGAGGAAGTCTTCTAGGTTTGTCTCTAAGTTGAAGGACATGAAGAAAACTCCACACAGATTCTGGGATGAGATACAGGATGTACAACTCAGCCTGGCTTCTCACACAAGCCCACATTGGCAGATGGAGAGCTCTCAATCCAGAAATGGGAAAAATCAAATTATATATTTGGCCTCTTCTACATCTGCACTTATTATCAGCTGGCTTTGCCTTTATTGTGCTTACAACAGCTTTGATAACAGTAATCTAATGTGAAATCCTACCCATCAGTTTAGCAGGACAAACAGGACTTTGAGAAACTCTGAGAATTCTGAATTTAGTTCTTGTATTCTCCATTCTTTCACATCTCCAATACAACCATTTTTAAATGAAGAGAATCTGTTCCATTTGAGTCAAGACAGTTGCATATTCAGTTTCAGATGTATTAAGAGAAGAAATAAACCAGGACTCCTTCTGTGCCTTTTCTCAAGCAAAAAAAAAAAAAAGGTTGTTACACATATTTTCCTTTTCTAGGTTTGACTTGATTCACAGCAAACCACAGAAGAGCAGCATCCACCTATTTGTCAAGCCTCACAGTACCACATATTGACTTGTCTTGACCCCTTTCATCCACTGGTGCAGCAACAGCTTCTTTGGTATCAGGAGAAAAAAAAAAAAATGTATAAAATGACATATGTTTAAGAGACCATGAAGGAGACACATGCCTTTCACCTAGGAGCTTTGTTTAAAATGACACTTTTCACTTGGGACAGTGAAAGAAGAAGAAAGTTTATTTCTGTGCTGTGTTAGTTATCTCTCCACTGGAGTTAAAGTGTGCACTGAACACCAGCTCAGACCCAACACGTCTTTTCTTTCCAGATAAACAGTGTGAGGAATCTGCCAGGGAACTTGTGTATCACCATTCATTTCTTAGCATTGCTCTTAATCCTTTTCAGTTTTTCTTATTTGTTGGGTGTTTTTTGGTCACTGGTTTGTGTTTTTTTTCCACTTCAAGATCTAGACTTCAGAGTTCACATGTGTCTAATGGCTACATACAACATATGTGTCTATACCATTCAGTGTGACTTCTCACCAGTTATCCTGAAAGCGCTGCAAGACTGTTCCATTATGAACAACTTTTTAAAAATTAAAATAATGCAACTATCAACTTGGTTTTTAAAAGAAATATTACATATTAGTACTTAAACAAAACTTCTCAAGGGAATATGAGCAGAAGACAGTTATGTAAGACAAAAAAGCAAACAAGACCAAAAGACACTGAATGCTGCAGAAGGCAGTTTGAGGACATCTGTCATGTCCAATAATCCCCATTTAAACTGCTTTCAGCAGCTGCCGTTCTTAGCAATGGCAATATTTTGATTTATAAGAAGTTACCTTCCCCTTCTGGAAGTCTCACATTAGTTGGTTAATGCTGGTAACATGCTGTCTATTTGTAACAGTCTACAAGAGTTTTCATGCTATTTATGAAATTCAGCACACTAAAACAAGAGCAGCAAGAGAATCATGCATAGGAAAATGCATTTTGTGGTCTGCCCATAGCAAAAATCACAATCAAACCAAGCTAAAGCTTCCAAATTCATAATTTCTTTTCCATGACACCCAAAGACAGTTACTTCTATCCAGGGGTCACATTATTTCTACTACAGATGAGGTTGTCACCTTACAGTCAATGTAATGCAGCAGAGATCCATATTGCTGGTTACAAAAGGGTCTGAAACTCCCTACTGTTCCCAGCAGGTCATTCCCATTACCTCTTTAATGCTGGCACTTGCTTGAATGTGGCAATGGGATGAGACAGATAAAGGGTTTAATCCAGTTGCAAACAAACTTTTTTGGTTAGGTTAATTTCCAGTTAAAGCAGTTCCTCACCCTTCTTTGATACTCAGTTACATAAATACCACAGCAAGAGCAGGAAGGGGATCAAAAGTCTCCCATTTAAGTAGCAGCAGTGACTCATGCTGCATTCAAGTGACATAAGACCATACACAACTCCTACTTCCTATCCATTTATCAGCAAATTAATACTAAAACTTCTAGGACATCCAATTCTTCTATCTTTCTTAACAAGTTCTTATTTCCAAGAATGGTAATTCAATACCAAAAAATTGACTTTTTTTTTTCTTCAAAGATTTGATGAAAAATTATTCAATTTGAAGAAAATGCACAGCATTTTCTAAAGATGTAGCAAAACTGTAACACCCAAAATGCTAGTTCTTTTTCAAAAATTAAGGAAAAGCTTAAAAATGGGTGTTAGGTAAACTGAGAATTACAATTAAACCCTTACATCCCAACTTTATATTTAAGGTATTTCTGAAAAAGTGTCACAGAAAACGTACTAATTAGAAATTACACTAACATATAATCCAGAAATGTCCCCTAGATTTTCATCAATTGAATAGTTTCCTTTAAAAACATTTTAATGGACTTAAATATTATCACCTGAATTTCATATTGGATGTGCCAAAACTGTTCCATGTAATTTATTCCATAGACTTGTAAACTGAAGTACAGATCTCTTCTGTGGGTATGAAATGTTATAATTTCTTTGTTTATTTGGGTTGGGGAAAGAAGGTGGAATATAAAGGGTTAAAGGTTCCTCTAGGAATATCCTTACCTGTGGTGGAGTATAAGGCATTATATCCAATTCACTAGCTAATGGGGTCTGAAGCTGAGGCATGGAAGGTGTTTCAGTCATGTCACCTTCCTCTTCTCCCATCTCTTCCATGTCCTCATCACCTCCTTCCAATTCAGCAAATTTTGCTTCTAGCTGCTGAATCTTCTTTTCCAGTAGTGGAGATGGTTCTTTCTGAGGAACTATTGGTTTTCTGAAAGGTGGAGGAGGAAGACAAAAAGTAGATGAGGACACACTTTAAAGGAAATAGCATATATTTTTAAAAAGAAAACCAACTTTTCTCCCTTTGTCACTGAACTACATGGAAAAAACCGTGAGTTGGGATGTATCTGTGCTTCCTTTCAGAGCAGTGAGCAGAAATCATTCAGTGTCTATGGCCAGTGTTAATTTCAGTCACTCGTTTGAAGGACTTTAATTACTGTTTTTTTATGAGTTAGAAGGGGATTTCAATGCAGCAAGTACTTTATTTCTGCAACAGAAGGCAGTCAACACCACATCTTCCTTAGATTTTACATTTTACTTAGTTTAGTACATAATATTTTAATTATATTTCAATGTTAACTAACTGGAAACCTATTTGTTACCCATAATGAGGACTTAAGTACCTTAATGACATCCAAGAGAATTTACCCATCTTATAATGTAATGACTTTTCCTAAAGTCAGGAGAAGATGACAAAAACATTCACTGGTATTAAGACCAGGAACAGACTGATGTTATCTGGACTTCTTCCCAAAAGTGTGATTAGTCAAAATTCACATTCTCCAACAACTATGACTTTTATATAGAAGAGTGCTCAAATGACCCCCTCATTCCCAACACATCTTTACCTAAAGTAGTATATTTCATCATCTACTACTTTTGCAGAGAGTGAAAATCTCTTCAGCCCTTTAAATTTCTTCATTTGTTTGTCACTTTCATTGTAGCGGCTCTCACAAAGAAAAACATCATTTTCAGATATTTCTGTTGGTCTGCAGGAGAGGAAGTCTTTGAATGACAGAACCACACACTTTCCTGCAGAAATGAAAGAGCTGTTTAAGAAGGCAGCCACACCTGCAGATTTTTCACAAGTCTGGAAGATTATCAGGTTTTGGCACAACTATGGAAAATACACCAACCAGTATCCTTATTAAATTATGTCACCCATGAGAAAGTTATATGAAACTCAATGCAGCTTTTGGTTATTTATTAAAGAACAAGAAAACCTGCAAAATAACAAAACCCCATGCTCACTAGTTAATTAACTATATTTAGCACAGCATCATAACTACAAAACAAAGTCATCATCTTACGTAACGAACCAAAATTCAGCCTCCTCCTGGACTGAATTTCCAGGTAACACATACTGGAATAATTACATTAGTAAGCAACAACAGTGGAGATTTCTGTTCTCTGGCTGCAGACATTTACTTTGGTAACACATATTTAAGTCCCTTATTGTAAGAAAGCTTCCTTGTAGTGAGCATTCTCACTACAGGTCTCAAAGACAGGAATGCATATTAGAAATGGACTAAATTTCTCCTCCCCCACTTAACATGAAAAAAAATCATCATACTTGGAATCAAGCCTACACATAGCTACAAATCACTTCAGAGTCTATAGGAAAAGAGTGTCCATTAGATCTGAAGTTAATAATTACCCAAAATGCAAGTCATTGGACAGGTCTCCTCCAAGTTACTCAAAAACACTTCCTTCTTGTAGAACATTTTAGTTGGTTCATGTTCAGTTTCCTCAGGATGTATAAAGATTGGACCGAAGAAATACGCAGCTCCATCCCGCACCCACATCTTTTCAATTCTGGAAAGAAAACCAAGCCACTGACATAAATTAAAGGCCACCCCTCCTAATTGAGACAGCTCTCAGGAAGACTGTCAGTAAAAAAACTGGTACAGAGGAACAGCCTATTCTGTACATCTGTACAACGATATCATCTTTCTATTAGGTGGCTAAACTTCCGCCTCAGTCTGTTAAGAGCTTTTAACATTTCGCTTCACTTGGAAGATTTTTTTCCCATCCTCTTTTCTTTTTGCAACAAGCATATATTGACCAAGTTATTTTTACAGACACAAACTGCAAATAAAGAAGTTGCACCTACCTTCCTACTCGAGGTCGCACTAACCCGTGTGATTTTATGAAGACACAATCTCCAACTTTAAGCCACATATCGTTGTAGCAGAGCTGTTCAAAGTAATGGCAACCAGGTTCTCCATTGGACATTTCTACTGGAACATCTTCTTTGTCCTGCAGAAGAACAGGCATTTAGAAACTTGTGGAAGAAGGAAAAAAAACACATAAAAAAAAGATGCCAAGACTTTGCTCTATCTTTACAGTACCAATAATAGGTAAACACTAAACAGAGCCGTACCTGCAGAAGTAAGGGGCCTCGAAATTTCAAAACTAAATAACAAAATCAAAAGATACCCACCACGTATGTTGCAAACTTTCTTATTTCAGAAACCTGTAATTTTGCCAGAACAGTAATTTCCAGGTCCTTTTTTATTCTACTGTTCCAAAGCTAACTGGCCAAGCCGAGCCTTGTCAGCTTATTTTTATGGCTTGTTTTAAAGCACAGTAACATGCTTAAAATTTTATACATGGTGAAGTGAACATACAAAAAAATTAACGATACAACTCTGCGATACAGCAGTATAAACACTTCATGTATTGCTTGTGAATTCATACCATCTGTCCTATTTAATTTCTTACTCTTCAGTCAAAACTCACACTGTGCCTCATTTTACCTTCTAGTCTAGGATCTCCTGAAAGCCAAAACACTCAGAGATTATCTCCCCAAAGTGTGGAAGGAAAAGACCCTACAAGTTTTCATTCTCTCAGGAGAAATAATTCCTTCTTTTGTTATGATGTGAAAAATAAAATAATATACCCTAAATGTCTGATTAAAGCTGACAATGAGTATGCTGGGTAGTCTGCTCTGAGGTTCTGTCAGATAACTTAATACAAAGTGGATTTATTTTATGACTTTAAGTTTTTTTATGACATTATATTTATTTTAGATAAAAATTCAATTTTATTGACCATAATAAATTTATTTAAATATATTTTATTACTCTAAGTACAATGAAATAAAACATTTTATGCAGTATGCTAGACAGAAATATTCTAAGCATTTTCACAATAAGCTGCTATTAGCCATAAATAGGTCACAAACAACAGAATATTACGTATTGCTTACTACTGCCTAGCTACTATTTTACTGAAATACTACATAATAAAGCATTTCAGCATTGCCATGAACTGAAATTAGTTTTAGTTCTACTGATTCTTATACTGAAGGCAAGCTTCACAGTAAAAGTGTAATCTTCTTTCCTGAAGCAGTAAAAAAAAAAACCCGACCCCTTCACATGATCAGAAGAAACCATATGTACAATCTAGCAAATATCTACAGTATTTATTTTCTGTTAATCTATTCATATCTTGTTTGCATTTATTTACAAATATGTACAGCAGTTTACAACTGAAACGTTATTATTTATTTCTACTTTATTGTGTCTGGATGCTGTGAAACCGAAGTCATGAGGGCTCATATTTTGTCATTCTTTATCACACACAATTGATGTTCCCCTTGCTAGCTTACCTTTTCAAGATGAAGGATATTTTCTCCCACCTTACTATCCTCCAGTGTTTCAGCATGTTTCTCCTCATCTGCTTTGTCTGTATTAGCAAATACAGAAGCAACACGGACCACAGGCAGGGGCACATCTCGAGGGACAAATCTTACAGAGCTCACAGGCATAGTCCACAGTTTAATCTTTTTAAAAGATTTTGTCTTTGCAGAATAGCGTGACTCGCAGACGTAGACATCCTCATCTCTGAAGTTTTCAGGGCACAATTTAAAATATTCCTGCAGATTGAAGAAAAAATATGAAACATTTCAGCAACACCCCCCCCCCCCCCCAGACATGCAGTTAACTCCCTCTCATGCTTCCTGGTTTTTTTTTCTATGTTTCTACCAGAAACGCTTTTAGACTAATAAAGCCTTACTGTTGAGTTCATTTCTTCCAGTTTGACACCCAAGTTATATTAAAAAGAAACAACAAGAAATCCCACCCTTAGAGAAGCAGCTAAAGTCAGTACAGGTTGTCATGTGAGAGAAGTTACGTTTTATTCATTTACCAAAATGGTACATTAGGTAGTACCAGATCTGTAGCCTAAAAACCACTTTTACAAGATTTCTGAGCTTTGATGTGGAAAAAGGACACAATCACCAGGTTTTGGGGATGGAGGTGGGAAGTACACTCCATGCTCATTGATACATGACCACGATATCCATTCATGTACTCAGCAGCTATAGAATATTCCATACAGACACACTACCTTCAAAAACCTGGCTGAGATAGCTACGTTGCAAACAAGTCAAAAATCCTCAGCACAGGATGATGTGGAATCAAATCTGAGACAGATGAAAGGACTTCATCCTCTTACTGAGCCATTCAAGCCTGCCTCTCTACCAAACCTAAATCTACATGCTTTTATGGGAACCCTTAAGAAGTTACCTGCAATTTCTCTACTACATGGTCTGAAAAAAATCAGTTAGCTAATTATCTAATAATCATGTTTCTACAAATCAACCAGCACAGGGAAATACCATCACTTGAGTGAACTATGAATCTCATGAAGCAAATAAAGAATACAAACAGTACATGGGAGCAAGTACCACTTGATTTAAGTATTAGTAGAATGTTCGGTTCTTCAAGAAAAGAGCAGAGAACATATTAGTTGCTTAACATACCAGCCTGAATAGTCTCTCACCTTAACAAACATGACCACACATTTGCCTAAAATTTTGCTAACAGGAACTTTGTTGTAATAGTCACTTTTAAAAACTTCTTTCTCCAAGAATTTTCGTGTTGCAAGATGAAACGTTTCATTTGGTCGATAAAACCAACAGCCATAAAGCCATTTCTCTCCTTAACAAAAAAGTAGAAAGATAAAAAGGATGTAAAATAGCACATTCTCTAGTACATGAGCAAGCAAAACCAACTACAGATTGACTGATTAATCAAATAGTAATGTAGTCTTTACACGGAGAGTAAACTGTTTTAAAACAGGGCAAGATTCTGTAACTGAGGTAAGGAAAACTAGGTTGCTTAAAAAGCCTACCATTTGTTTTCTTCCCAGTAAAATGCAATACAGCAAAATTAATGAGGATCAGTTCTTATTTATAAATCTAGACTTTCAGGGCTTGATATGGCTTCAGAGAATATACAACAATCACCTGATTATCTGAGGAATCTTAGATAACTGGTTTCAAGCTTTTTAAGAACTGTTTCTCCCATTTTACGCTGTGACAAATTCAAATACTTAACAATGACTCATAAAGAAGTTACAAATATATACTATTTGACTAAATCAAAGCAAATGTGTCATCTGTAGACTGAACCAGAATAAAAAGTGCTAGTCACTTTGTCCATCACAGACAAACATGCATAAGAAAAAGATGCTGCATCCAACTGAGCGATCAGGACAGGCTGTCAGGAGAATGCCTTTGACCCTGGCTACCCTCTGTAACTCATTCCATTCCTTCTACAGGCATTGCATGAGTGTTAAAAGAGCTATTCTCTTTATCTGGCTACTGTTTGCTGGTTATTCCCCTTATTATTTGGTTTAGACCTGTTGTATATGGACTTGTCTCACCCATATTTGAATCAAATATAATCTGTCTCTGCAAGCACCCTGGGGAGCCAGGAAGCTCCCTTCCCACTGTACTAAAAAGACAAACATATGCACATGTTTTAACCTGATTTGTTAGCATCAATGAGTGCCCTCTAACTCTAGTATTGCCAGATTTGTTAAGCAATATTTCTGCACTCACCTTATCTAACCACTTAATGACTTTGCAAACCTTAATTAAATCCTGCCTCACTTATCTTCTCTCCAAATTTAAGAGTCACAGCCTTTTTCAATCTGTCCTGGTAAAACATCTGTTCCACCCTCTTAGAAACGTGCAACCAACTGGTTAACTCCACTATAGTCTACTGTAGTTCTCAGCAACTGTAGTGTCCAGTATTGCTGAGTGTGCACCACGCTTATCCTTGCCATGTCCTTAGCCTTCCTTACACTTAAGAGAAGTACCTGCTGCAAACAGATGGTATCACTGATAGAAAAATAAAAAAAAACAACAAAATAGTACTTGTTAGGGCTTGCTTTGGCCCAGGAAATGCCAGATTTAGCCAGTTCTGAAATTTAACAAAGACAAGTTCTGAAACCGTCTCTCTGTGGAATACTTGCAGTTAAACAAGCTCAACTCTGGTTCAGGTTTCTCAGCACTGAAAAACCCCAAGTGTTCTGCACCTAAATTACAAGAAGCCCGTCCCATTTGGAAGAGCCTGTTCTCTAGGATATGTACAGTTTGAGGGTAGGTAGAGATGAACAATAAAAAAACATGTGCTGATCCAAGAACTTTATATTTGTAATATTCTTTGGAAAGAAATAACTCAGAAACAAGAAAAATACTCACCAGTCCATACATACTTCTGTGAATAAAATAAGTAACATCTACACAAGAAAAGCTCAGACTGGAAGTTCTAATAGTAATAAGAAGTTTCACCGTATTGTTTTCCTATAGCAGAGGCATCCTTACCAGCTGAATCTTCCCACAGCCTCTCAATACAGACTATGTGGGGTTGCAAGTTGGCTTCAGCAGGCTCCACGTACACGTAGTCTCCTACATGGTACATGCTGTTCTTGAAGCTGCAATCCTGGCTGTAGGTTCGATGCAAGCTTGACAGCCCAGATGATCCAGAAGAATCTTCACTCTTTTCAGCTTCTTATTTCAAGAAAGGAAAAAACAGATGTTAGCAACTGACATTTCCAAATTAGCCAAGACTACTGATAGGAATGCCCTCATCCTTTTCTGAGTGCAGAAGTGCTACATGCACAACTGCCACACAATACCTGATGCATCCCTCTGCCACTGACTTCCAGCATGAAGGAAGGGTTTAAGTGTCTTTTGGGCTGCTAGTCTTTCTGCTACTGGTGCTGCTGAAGGTTGGGTTTCCCTTCTTCAGCTGAATTTTATTGAGCCCCTCCAGTGAGCAAAGAGGAACTCAATGACAGCACTGAGCTCAGAAGCCTTCAGAAAGGCACATTTTGATTTCTTTTGGGTTTTTAGCTCTCAAAGGGAGACAGAAAAAGGCCATTACACTTGAGCCTGGTAGGAGCAACCAGACTTCACTGCTGCTGGCATCAGTGCTACGTGGGAAGATGAACCATGTTAGAAAGACAGGTGAAGCACAAAGAGCTAACAGAGCTACTCCTACCTGTGGGAAGGAGGAATTAGAGAGCTTTATTAATTCCCCTAGCCATGCTCCACAACAATTATATGGATAATAACTGTCAGGAACTGTGAAACACAAAGAATGTTCACAGTAAGTTTCTTGCCCTACAAAATAGTGCAAGCCCCTTCCTCTTCACACTCACAACAGCCAAAGAAGAACACAAAAAGCTTACTTTAATACAATTGCTTTAGCAGTGTTAAAAAATATGACCACAGACAACACTACCAGCACATCATGAAACCAGTATTTGTCAAACAGGAAACAACTAAAAGATCAGTTGGAAGAGTCATTGCTCAGTTTCTTATCAGTAGAAAGCTGCAGTCAGCAGCTATTGTTTTCTTTCATAATATACTTCAAACAAGACTACCATATCCCAACATGTTCTGATTAAGGAGTTTACATAAGGTTAGTAACTATCTACATTTCTTTCTTAAAAGCTGTCTGCCCTCACTGATAAGGATCAAATCAAATTACATCTCTCATAACTTTAGAATACAAGACCTTGGTTGGACAACCAGACTATTAAGGTCCCTTCAGAAGGTAAAGCTGCAGCAATAGCAGAGCATACATCATAAACATAGGTACTTTCTTCAATTAATATATTTTAAATTAATAAAAAGAAAGTAGCCACCTCTCTTCTCCTCCTCTCTTTTCAGCTTATCCTCCTCTATTTCTTTGGGCAGCTTTTCCTTCTTTTCCTTTTCTACATCGTTGTGCAGATGCTTGGTGGTGTAGCTGAGAGCGGGTGACAGAAGGATCTCGCCGTTCTTACAAAGTTCATCTCGAATTTTAATAAAGAACTGCTGAAGTTCAACTGCATCCTCATAAATCTCCGAATCAGTCCTACACAAAAAATACAAACAGGACAGAAACACAGTTTGTGCAGAATCAAACAGGATCCTGAACACACACCCACCATCACCACACTTAGTGATAAAACTAGAGCTTTGCCTTATCAATAGATTTCTGTGCTTACTCCCAATGAGCAGCAGAAGACACTGGCAAGGGATGCTCCACCTGCTACTCTGCTGCCAGGTTGTGTTATAGTTTACCCAAAACAATACTTTTGTATACACCAGTCCTTGAACACCAGAAAGATCAAAGCTAACTAGTTGCTACCAAAACAGTGGACCTCTACAACCTGTTAACTTCTGAAAACTACAGTAATAACAGCATTATTAACAAAACTGACACATTTTACTTATCCATTCTTCTATTAGTAGATGTTTTAATATCATTTATATCTCCTTTCCTTCACAGTCAAGATATCACCTGCACATCCCCAAGTACCCTACCTAATTCAAGTAAAATACAGCAAGAAGTTGCAAGTGTTCATACTGTTCGCACAATATTACTGTAAATCGTACATCTGTGATTGCCCCAAAAAAGTAATCCACTAGTCAAGCAGTTTGTGAACAGCTCCTCCTCTACATTTTTGCAATTTGAAAGTTAGCACAAACCTGGTTTTCATGAGGTGTGCCTTTGGAAGATAATATCAAAATCTTCTCATGGCAGAAACCTAACTTCTGCCTTGTTTTTAAATGAAAGTATACATTCCACTGAAGACATGATAAAGGTTTTGAGATTTAATATTCTAAACATCTGTATCAAGGAAAACAATCACCTTACAAAAACTTCAGCCTTTCTCTAACATCACATGAATTTTGCATGTTAACAAGACAAAGGATACCTGAAAAACACAGCTTTGCTCACCTGTTCATTCTCCTCGCCCTCTCTAGTACCTCAAACATATTCTCCTGGAACAAGTCCAATCTCCTATAGCGATTATTTTCAACATTTTTTCGGATAATATCAAAAGTCAGAGGAGGTTTATTTGGGAAGTTGGGATCAACAGCAGGAATCTCAGCTAAGGAGTCGCTGTAGCATCTGCCCTCATCATCCTGGTGGCTCATAACAGATACAAAAAGGTTATGGATAAGTTCCTGTATTAGCAAAGTGACATTGGGTACATGAGAATCCTCATCTCCTTCTATTTCTCTTCGAGTTTCAAGCAAAACTTTATGCAGGACCAGGGCATCTTTATAAATCAAAGATTCTGGCTCATTATATGTGCAAGCATTATTGAACATCATTACAAAGTCTTCTACCATGGAATCAATATCCTGGTATTTATTTGCCATCATATGACTTCTGATCTTTTCCATGTCCACGGGCTTTTTAATGGTGACGTAATAGTCAGGAAGCTCAGAGCGAGAGGGCAGCCTCAGGAAGATGGCACTCAGCCGCCTGCCTCGCTTATCCGTGTAATTCTTCACCGCTTCGTACACCTCGTTCAGCTTCTGTTGCATTGGAGTCATGTACTTTGATTTTTTAGGAGAAATTCCACTTTTTCTACCTAAGCAGATAAAAAGTAAAAAAAAAATCATTACAAAAAACAGAGCTTGCACACTTGTTTGTCTCTCTTCTTCCCATTGGAGAACTACCTATTGGAGAATCACTTCATAGTATGAGCAGAAGACTCACGACATGGAGCCCAATCGAAGATGCAGGTTCCTTTATTTTTCATAACTGTATTAATATCTTTGTTTTAAAGTGTTACCACACAGGCCACCACCTAGCGAAGGTATCTTCAAACTTTAGCATGAAAATCCTTTTTTCCTACTTAATGTTATTAATAATGCCTTTAAATTCAATTACTAGCTCTACATGAGTTTCTCTCTACAGCCATTAAACATCCACTCGTCACAGAGTTTTTGCTACCACTAAAATGAAGCATTCTAAATATTATCAGATTTCTTTATGACAGGTTTATGCCAAATTAGAGAGGAATATCACAGGTAAAATGTAAAACAAGGCCTCCCATGGGGTTATCAATCAGATTAGCTTTTTGATTAATTCAAGATCTCTGTTACTATACTGCATAGTCTCCTGTGAATTCTGTACTCTCTGCACCTTATCTAAAAGCTGCACATTTTTATTTTCAAGAAGGCACATGACTAAACACCAGTGATTCCAAGCACTCCTACATTGTTTCTTCATCATGCTCTTTTTCTTAGAAAACACTATACACAACAACTAAACTCTATTATATGCACATATAAACACACCATTGCTGTTATGATTTTGAAAATATAGTTCTACTTTGCATATGCCAGTGTAAATTTGCAGATCATATTTTCTATTCTAAAAACTGGAAGATCTGTTAACCTGTATGGTTGGGTTTTCTTAAGTGTTGAAATGAGGTTGCCTTACTTAGCTTTAGTTTAGGGGATGCAACATCATCATCTTCAGCTAGGGGTCCCAGTTCTTTCCTTTTTTCTTTAAGGATCTTTTCCAGCATATGAGCATCATTGTATACCTATTAATCAGTAAAGTAATCAAAAACCAAAACAAAACAAGGTTTACTGTGTTTAGACTAGTTTAGAATTAGCCTCCAAGAGACATTTAAATGTTAGTTTGAAAACACTGAACACAAAACCAAGTACTTGATTAAAAAGAAGGGCTTATTTCTCAAATGTGCACCTTTAATACTTACACAGGTAAGCAGAACCTATGAAAGACATGTAAATCAGCACGATATAAATATTGAATAAATTATCCAATTAAGCTGCATTTCTCTTCCAAAAAAAAACACAAAATGGCAAGGTGCAGTTAGTTGTCTTTATAAAGTTCTGCATCATGCCATTCTGCTGAGCAATCAAAGATCTCTTGAACTACTGTGATTTCATCAAGACACAAAGGATCAGATCAGTCCTCCTGGGTCTTCAAATCCAACCCTAGTGAATGCAACCTCATCATACAGTCCTGTACAGTAGCTGATCAAGTTCCTCATTAGAAATAGCTAGACGTTTCTTAACCAACTCTGTTCCACAACATAATATTTGCTGGCTGAGAAACATGTCAGTAGAGAAACACACTACAATATATTTGTAAAAGAAAGGCATATTCTCTTCAGACTCCTTTTGCTAGGCTAAACAAGTCAGGTCTTCTAGTCTGATCTCCCACACTCTCCACTTCCATGAAAACAGAGCTGGTTTCTTTCCAAGACAGCCCTTCTCAGAGGTTCTGAGCTCCAAATCACGTGCTGATGGCTGATCACCATGCAAGTATCTTCAAGTGATTAACTGAGGGTGAATAACACAAATTTAGGAACCAGTTCATTTTTTTTTAAACATGCTAGGAAATGTTCAGCTGACATTCTTTGTAATGGAGGAACAGGTTTAGCTATCAGGAATCATATCTAACCTTTGCAAAGGAGCGTGGTGCATTTCATGTTTATACAACTGGAGATGAAGACAGAATTTAAAATATTAGCAGAAAGAAACAGTCCTATTTCTATTTTAGTTCAATAAACAATTATCACAAATAACATGAGTATCAGTCAAAGCTAAACCATTCTAACATAACCTACACATCTGCAAAGAAGCAGAGAGGTAAGTGTGACTGGAGAATCCAAACAGTACCTGGGAGCCTTCCTCATTATAATGCCTCGCATTTCGGAACATGAGCTTCATGTCTTCAATCATGGCTTCTTCCCCTACATACTTATCATTGCGGATATTGTGTTCTATCATTTTCAAGTCCATTGGCTCCAAGATGATTTTGTAATAGTCTGGATAGTCTTTTTTGGATGGTTTAACCATAAAGAGATCACAGAGCCGCCTGCCTGTGCCTGGTTCTCGAGCTTCCAGAACCGCGTTGTACAAGATCTTCATGCGCTGCTTTCGTATATTCTTTTTACTGTCAGGTTAAGGAGAAAACAAAAAGGAATAGAATAAATGTCAGGGGTTCTTTTCCCTGCTTCCAACATTAATATCACAATGACATCATCCTCTACCATGAAAGAACAACCACAACCACCTAAAGACACACACGCAAGAAGTTCAACATCAAGACTGTGTACTAGAAACTGGTTCCTTTGCAAATGACAACATCATCATAACCAGCATTCTGCTAAATAAACAGGAAAACAACTTTTAAGTTATGATTTTTCTCATTCACTTTGAGTTTGTGTGTCTTACAGAATAAAAGAAATAACTAGTTTTGAAAAGCACAAACGTCAAAAGGAGTTCGAAGCACCTTCCAGCTGCAGAGAAAACAGCTCAGTCAGGACTAGGCATCTAAATCCAAGACTGCAAACAGGGAAAAACCCTTCAGCCAGTATCTTTGTGACTACCTCTGTTGAATGCAGAATAACAAAGACTCTGAGATAAATATCTCAGAGCAATTCTCTATACTCTTCAGTACCAGATACAAGAAAATAAGGAAATCAAGAATGTAGCAAAAAGAAGGGTCTGAATTGCCTAAACATCTCTCAACCACAGTCAAACGAAGTGACAAGCCAATACAGCTCGCCAAAAACTCACACTTGGGTGGAAAATGGCCATGTACATACTACCACCACAAACTTTATAGTCGTCCTATGTGTAGCTGTTATGGTTGTCTCAAGAAATCTGATAGCACAAGCAAGACACATCTCATCAGGAGACCAGTTATGCGTGGCTCCCCTATATATGCTACATGATCTATAAGCAAATCAGATACGGGAGAGGAAAGCTGATGTTGAGAATGAATCTCAGCTCAAATACTGTGGCATTGCTAGAAAGGCACTCTTACAAAGCACTTTTAAACCAGCTTCCAAATTGCAATCTCTGTAAGACTTCAACTAGTTCTACTTTGACTGTATTATCTGTAAAGATAGCAACTATCACCACTTGCAGTATATCACTTCACAGCTTGCTAGAAACCAAACTGCACCACAGATTTTCCATCATCTGGATCTTTTCCTTCTGAATTTAAAATATACCTAATGCAGCATAGCCTCATGCCTCAGATAGCTCTCGATCTTTGGTGAGGTCAGCAAAATAATAAATGAAAATTTCATGTCACAACACGTGATAAAATTCAAAATGTATCTTCTATAGGTTAAAGTTTTCTTCTGCATCATCTTCATTGCCAGAAGTCGTTAGTGGTTCACACTAGAAGATAAGCAATGCCAGAACAGAGACATGCTTCCAAATCCCCCATTTTAACATGTTTCCAAGTATTAATGTTTAGTTCAATGAAAGCAGGTAAAGCAAAACCAAAGCAGATATAGTAAATGGCCTGCCAATGCTTGAGATTCAGAGTTAATGCAGCTGATACATAAAAGGGGATATTCAAACAATTCTCCTCTGCATTGTTATTATTATTTTCCCAATGGGAAGAATTTTGCCTGGGTTCTTGGATTCCTTTTTCAGCAACATTTTGGAATTCCTCTCAGTGCTTCACTTCCACTATCAGCAGCATTTACAATCTTCTTCTACCTCCTATCATTCTGCAAGCGAAACTGATAACAGGTATTGAACTGCCAACATCAAAAGCATTTTCAGGTTCCCTTCAGGCATGAAGAAAAAATCGTTTTGATTTCCTCTATCTAGGAACACCACTTTTTATCTTTTACTCTTCTTAGATGACAAGGTCTGACAGATTTTTTCTTTTAAGCATTTCAGTATTCTCTTGCACAAGGTGATCAAAAGCAACATAGGGTTAAAAGGACATTGATGACAGTTTGACTTGCTCAATTAGGTTAGCGCTTTTCTTTGAATCAGAAGATGACAAAAGTAGCAATTTTTGCAATTTGTTCCTGTCTGATCTTCATTTGATACCTGGGGTCTGTCTTACTGTTCCACTATGCTTCTTCTTCCAAGCATCCCTAGACTGCACCACCTCCTAAATCCATGTTAAGATTTTTTGCAGGTTTTTTTATGAGCACGTATTCTTGCACTTTCTTGATTGCTCTTCAGTGATGCTATATTTCATTCTCCTTCCTCCCCCTATAACCTGCTGATACTTAGGCAAAACAAAGAACTAAAAATACAGGAAGCTGGAGGTCGTCAGCAACACCAGAGAAAGATGCTGAATTACAGTTTTACACTGGCAGTTGCTACTATTGCAGTAATATTATCAGAAGTTGGAACATATTTCAATGCATCATTAAAATTAATTACACAACAGCTACCACTGTAAGTTAAAAAATTCTTTCTATAAACCATCATTATTTCTCACGGAAAAAGTATCTTTTATATTACTGTGAATTTTGTTTACATTACAGTATCCAGAATAATCAATGCTGATAATTAACAACTAATAAGCCAAAGAAGGAAAATAGAGTCAGCAAACGGTTTGGAATTAATTGGAACCAACATTCAATGAGGTTAAATTTCAGATTTACTAATCTTTACACAAATGCCAAAAAACATTGCTTAATATTCTCTTTAACAAACAAAAGATGTAGCAACATGAATACCTTTTCCTTTTTGAGCTTCCAGTATCAGATGTAGCAGAAGAAATCATACTGTCCCCATCCTCAATGTCATCTCTCCTAGCAAGCTCCTTCTTCTTTGCCTGAAAAAAAAACCACAAATACCTGAAGCCAAACTCACTGCTGGACATTTCCAGAAGAGTATTAAACATGAGGACAGACTAGATGCATGCAGAAACTATGCAACTATGGGTTTTGAAACTAAGCCACAATCAAAATATATCCAGTGATTTATTTAACATAAGCTGGCCAACATAAAATAGCAGTATAATTCTTTTTAACTGTCAGAAATTTTTGAGAAATAAACTTCAAAACAATGCTATTTCAGACTGCAGCAGTTAGCTGGAACACTTCATGCAATTTGAAGTGGTTTAGCATCCTCCAGTGAAATGCTGGGGTTTGAACCCCGAGCCCCGAATTAAGGTTGACATATGGGTGATTCCCACAGCCCTTCATACAGAGGTGGTGAGTTTGCCTTATAGCTTCCCCCCAGGGTGCGGCCGGCCCTGCAGGGAGAGCCAGAAGGGAAATGAGCCCCAGGGGTCCCGCATTGAGTTGACAGAGGTCAGGTGTCTGCTTGGGGATAAAAGCTGGGACCACTGGCAGGGAGTCAGGAGTGTCTGTCTGTGGAGTGCACTCCCCAGAGCTTCCTGGTTGGGGAAGGACCCTCCTGACTCTACCTGGAAGTGGGCCCCGGTCAGGTTAGACCTTTGTAAATGCAGGCTAGGAGGGTGAGAGATGGCCATGTGGCCACCTTTACCCTATGTGTTCAAACTGTGGACCTGACTGTTTCCCATTCCATCTGTGGGAAACCTCAGTTCCTTATTTGTTCTGCCTACCAGGCAATATCGTGGTTGGGGGTGATTTCGAGTGCATGCGAACTAATTGACTTGTCTGTACCCCCAGCGACTGTCCATGGAATGTCCTTTTTGTATTCAATACAGTCGCCTTACTGGTTTGTCTTTCTTCTGGTTGTGTCACTCATGTTAGGCCTAGTAATTGGCAAAACATTCAGTTACCTGCAACCACTAAAAACCCTCCAAATCATCAAATCTTCTCACAACTTAATTGGGTTAAGGTTCACAGTAAGGAATAAAAGTGACCAAAACAAATCAAAGAAGGCAGCAGGCGTGATGAAGAAGAATCGCCATATGACGCCCTTCATTCCCATACTTCTCTGAAGTAAGACAATAGTACTGCAAATACAGGTCTAGTTAAAAATGACTTAGGAAAAATATTCATTAGGGAAATTAATTCATGTGTGAAGTTATAACTTTTTGGTCATTCCACTCCACACACCTGCATAACTTGCTGCATTTTCAGCACTCTTTTATAGATGGCAGAATTGGGAACATTGTAGCGCTTGGCATTTTCAAACATCAAGTTCAGATCAGCCTCCAACTGATCTAAAGTCTCATATTCATGGTTCTTCAGTTTGGTTCTGCAAAAGAGAAACACCTATCAGACACTTCACAAGTTGCAAAGTGCAAAACAGTTCTTTAACATCTTTATTTTCATGATAAATCAATATCCAAAGAGCTGTAACTACACGTGTTAAACTTTATCTAATGTTGCAGTAATATCTTTCAATTGTGACTGTATTATGGAAGCTTAATTCCTCTTAAAGAATTATTTTAATAATTCTGAAAGCTGCCCTCTTGAAAGTTGTGCAGACTGAAGTCCTGTTTTCATACTTGGATGAGATGTGCACCCATTAAGGCAGAAGCAGAACCTGCTGAGTCTGCTCCAGTACATCTCAACTGTGACCTGTAGGGCCTGGGTACAATGTCAATGCAACAGGTTAGCTCCACACAGCCACAAATGCTGCCTTCCCTACAACTCAATTCTACTT